CGGAAGTCTGTCACCCTCTCATTCAACCATACCTGGCCGGCGCCTCTTGCGCGCCAGGTGCGGCAGCAGGTCATGGCGTGCCAGCACGCGCAGGAGTTGCCCCAGCAGCCGAAGGTTACTCTCGTCGCACTGCCCGCGGCGCTCCAGCTCCAGCAGCAGCTCCAGGCCGCTTCGCGCGCGAGCCAGACCGCCGGCCGCGCCGGGGGCCTCGTCGAGCAGGAAGGCCAGCAGCTCCAGCTCGCACTCGGTCAGCTGCCCGCCCACCACCTCGAACATACGGTGAAGCGACAGCATCCCGTAGTAGTCCAGGCATTCATCCTCCTCCCAGCTCGGGGCCGGGGTCAACCCGGACAGCGCCATACCCGGGGGAGGGAGGGGGCGGCACAAGCTCCGAACCAGGGCCTAGAACGCACACAGCGGGGAGGGGGCAATGGTCAGAGACGCGAGGACCCGGACCCCGCCCCCGCCGGTGCGTCTCCCCCGCCCCGTCCTGCCGGGCAGGGCCACGTTCGCACCCCAGGCTTCTCTGTCTCTCCCCTTCCCTCAGAAAGGAATGGTACCGCCCGAGGTCCCCTAGTAACAGGTCGAGACGCTAGACCCCGTTTGTCCTCCCAAGAGTCGGGCCGACCCAACCCGAAAGCCCCTCCCCAGGTGGTATGCCCCGAACCAGCCTCCGGACCCGACCAAGTGATTCGGTCCGAACCAGCGTGGGGGCCCATCCCGGGGAACCCTGCCAACTGCCCTTTGACTCTGGGCAGCACTGACCGGACGTGCCCCTTGGCTCCGTCCAATGGTACTGTCCGATCAGCGCCGCGGCTCCACCCAAATGGTAGCGTCCGAAAGTGACCCTCTGCCCCCCACAAGTGGAACCGACCAAAGCAGCCCGTCGCCCCACACAGGTGGTGCTGTCCGATCCCGACCCCCTCGCCCTGTTAGGGCGGTACCGCCCTCCCCCCAACACCCAAGTGGTTCCGTCTACCCGCCACCAGCCGCCCTCAGGCCTCTCTGGATCCTCACCGGATTCCGGCGTCTGACGACTCCTGGGCGACGGCCGCAGCCACTTGTTTTGGATCTTTCTGGCACCTTCTCTATTATTACGCCTGCGTCACCTCGCCCCTCCTCCTTCCCCCAACTCGCGCAGGTGCGACCGCCACGCCCCTTAGGCGCAAGCGCAGAGTGAAGCTTCCAAGCCCCACCCCCCCGGGCCCGCCCCCAACCGTAGCGTCTTGCCCGCCAGTGCTGCGCCTGCGCAAAGCGAGAGTGATTTCCGCGTCTGAGTTGGATCTGTTACCTGGTGGCATGCAGGGTTGCTTCTGTCCGCCCGTGACTTAAGCCGCTGGATCCTTGTTGCCGCACGTCAAGCCCTGTTGGAAATACTCATCTCATGGACTACAGCCCCATCCTAGACATGATTTAGACGCCCACATTACCGCTGCTCCCAGGTGCCCAAGGCAAAGGACCACAATAGCAACCGTCCTGGCTTCAAATAGCTCCCAGACCCCTTATGATCGGGACCTGGACGCTCCTCCGTCAGCCTGCCCCTTACTCCTAATGGCAACCAGGAACCTACGTCACAACCGTGCCATCTCATGACCCCAACTGGAATCTCCTTTCACCCAACAGAAGCCCCATCTCTAAGTTCCTTCCCCTGATCAAGACCAGGAAGCTCCCCCATCTCATGTTAGGAACCAATACCTCCTTCCCGATTGCAATAGGCCCCTCCATCCTGACTGTTCACTTCCTGATGGCATCCATCACAGTCTCCTATTACAGACAGTCTCTTCCTGTCTCAAATGCCCCCCACCCACCCAACAACCCTTTCCAATCTCTGCCCTCCAAAGTCAAGGAGCCTCCCAATACGCCCTCTCTAACCTGAACCTACAAGTTGTACTCTTGCGAGGGCAGGTCCCTATCAAGAGAACTGGAGTCCAGGCTGCATATCTGAGCAGCTCCCCTGAGGCGGAGCCTTGGGCATGGTGGCCACCCCCCCAACACACACACACTTAGGTGACTCAAGGTCAGGGCTCGCACATACCTTGAAACAAGTCTCCCCGGAGTGGTTCCCACCCTTGAATTATCTCCCCTTGAAAGGGTGGGGGGGACCTAGGTCCTGCTTGGCACTGCCTCAGCACTGGCTCTGCTTGGGCTGCAGCAGTGACCTTGGAAGACTCCCTCTCTCTAATGTCAATTGTCACCTACTGAGACCTACTCCTGGGCCAGACACACAGTAGGCGCCCGATACGTGATTACCGTTAAATCAAGTGAAGAGTGGGAGGGAAGGGAAAGCAATTTTACAAACTGGGAAGGACTACGTCCATGTTAGATGGTTTATAGTGAGCATCCACAGTGTATCAGTGCTGAGCGCTTTTACGTGTCTGATTTCATTCAACCCCCTCAACAGCCTTTGAGGTGGATGTGATTCAAGCCCATTTTACACAGGAGTAAAAGGCCCTGAGAGAAGTACCCCAAGTGTGTCTGGCTCCAAAGCTATTCTCTCAGAGATGCTCAGCCTTTTCAGCTACAAAATAACACCTCTGTCAAGGTCTCCCGCCACCCAGTTCACTCCTCGCTTTCCAAAGATGCCCACTTCTCACCACTTAACTGATGTTTGGCAGGGCAGCCCAGAAGAACTGCGCAGGCGCTTGCCTGAGGCGCACCCCCAAGCTCCGCCCACAGGGAACAGTTGTGTGCGTGGAGAAACTCGCCGAGCCCCGCCTGAGCATCAACACGCAGGCGCAAGGGCGCGTGCCCTTCGCTGACGGCTCTGATTGGCTGCCACGGGTAAGGGCAACGCCCAATGGGAGGTGTGGATAGTGAGGGGTCCCGCACGCCTGGAGCAGAGAGGGTCTGTGTCAAGAGCGGCGGGGGCTGCAGGAGGCGAGAGAGACGGGTGAGGGCGCCGCGGGGCGGGCGGGGGAAGAGAGCGCTGGGCGTAGGGAGAGGGCGGAGGGAGAACGAAGGGGACACCGGGGGACGAAGAGCCCTGGGGCCTGCGCTAGGGCGGGAGCGGCGTGGAGTGGGAGGAGAGCGCTCCTTCCTCTGTGCCCTAGAGCATTGATGGCACTCGTGCGGCGTGCAGGACTCTACCCTGGAGCCCGCCGCCCCCACCCCTTGCAGGGTGCTCTAATGCAGCGGAGTTGATAAGTCTGGTCGGTGAAAAGGGACGTGTAGCGGAAAAGTTGAACTTCCAGGCCCCTGGTGGGTTCTTTCCTGGAAGGATTTATTGGTCTACCGTGTAAAAAGCCCCTATCTCCTCCCCACCAGTGGTACACAATCCCACAATTGGGAAAGGAGGAATGTAGACAAAAAGTCCAAATTTTAGATTGCTTGGGTCACCTTCCAGAGGGACATATACTGGGTGCCTACTTTGTGTGTAAGCCTTACACCAGGCCTTGGGCCTCGCCTGATGGGAATTCTGTTTGGAGTGCGGCTGTAAACAAGGAAAAACTGAACTCTGGGGATCCGGGCTGACTCCTTCCAGGAAGATCCTTTATTGGGTGGCTGTTGTGTGCAGGGCCATGGCAATTCAAATATTAGTGAGGGAGTTGGAATAGGTAGTTAGGAAAAAGTAAGTCCTGGGCTTTTAGTAAATCATTTATTCAGGGAGCATGTATTGGGCATCATGAAAACAGGGTCATGTGCTGGGCTGTGTTATCGTGGGAGTTCACTGTCCATGGGGAAAGTTGGTCTGGTGGGAGAAGTGGAATGGGCACAGGGAGAGTTAGACTCTCATGGCCTCACTTCCTGGAGGGAGCATTTTTCATTCACAGCATATCTCCTGAGTACCTGTTGTGGGCTAACCATTGTTCTTGGTGCTGGAAATATATCAGTGATGAAGAAACTAACTTCCCTCCTCTCTGGGAGCTTAATATGAGCAACTTTGCCTGCCTGGATGTAAGCTGAGCTCCACCTGCCCTCTGGCACTAACAGATGAGTTAAAGAAGAGATGGAGACAGTGGAAGTTGGATTCAGAAACTAGGTTGTAAGGGGTGCAGTCATTTGCTCAAGTGGCTCAGAGGCCTGGGTTGTGTTGAGCCCACACATGTAGAAAGGGAGATGGGGGCATGTAGAGGGAAGTTCAGAAGTTTTAAGATCCCCGTCCCAGGTCCATGGTTTTGTTGGTGACATCAGCACCTACAGTGAATCAGACCTGCCATGCCTGCATGCTCAGTCTGAAGAGGAGCACAGACTGCATCCCAGGCTCGTGATATTGGCTTTGCCAGAGGTGGCACAGATTACCATAGGAACCCCAAGGAGGCAGGAGTGGACATCCCCCTGAGGATGTAGAGATGTTGTCAGAAAAGGCTTCACAAAGGAAATGCTGGGTACGGTTTTGCTAGACCAGAAAAGGAGAGAACTTTCTTGGCAGAAGGAATAGCAACAGGAAAGACTTCGGGTTCGGGAACAACATTTCTGGAGAACCACAAGTCATGGTTCTGTCTGACCTTTCTCGGGCACCGGGGCCTTCGTGGTCAGCACTACTTTTACTCCCTTTCACGGGTGACAAAACAGCGTCAGAGAGAGGAAGTTAATAACGTGCTGGTGCTCAGATTCAAGCCAAGGGCAGTCTGGTCCAGAAGCCTGTGCTCTTGAACCCTTTGCTGCTCTGTATGTGTCCATATAGTAGGAGGAAAGGTGGTGCCCAGTGAGGAAACCATCCAGGCAAAGGTCAAGAGGTGTAAAGAGACACGTGTTCTTAGAAAGGGTGCGGGTGGACCTCTGGGTAAGGAGGGACGGTAGCATCGGGGGCCAGACTGAAGGGGGATGTCGCTGTCTTACAGATGTCTGGCACCATGGGGCGTGCATCCACTTCGGAGTCACACGTTCATTGAAAACTGAGGCACCAGCACTGGATCCAGGCTTGCTGATTGATAGAGGCTGGTGAGTGAGGGGACGAGCGGGGAAGCTCCTGAGCCGCGCCCCCCGCCCCCCACCGCGCCCCTGGGTTCCTGATGTCTCACCAGCTCCCCCTTCTTTCTCCAGGCACTGCCCCCCCCACCATGGCAGAGGTGGCGGCTGAGGTGGCTGAGCTGCCCGCACAGATGTCGCCAGGGGCGGTGGAGATGTCAACACCGATGTTCGGGGAGATGTCAACAGAGGTGACCGAGATGACACCTGGGGAGGCGCTGGCCTCATCCCTTTTCTTCCAGCATCACCAGTTCATGTGCTCTGAGTGTGGCAGCCTCTACAACACGCTGGAGGAAGTCCTCTCGCACCAGGAACAGCATGTGCCCACTGTCACTGAGGATGAGGCACTGGCCGCCCAGGATCCTGGCCTGGAGCCAGAGCTCATGGCAGGGCCTGAGGAAGGGCCTTTCCAGTGTGGGGAGTGCAACCAGCTCATCCTGTCCCCCGGTGAGCTCCTGGCCCACCAGGACGCCCACCTCCGGGAGTCTGCAAGCCAGATCCAGTACCAGTGCGGGGACTGCCAGGAGCTCTTCCCCTCGCCTGAGCTGTGGGTGGCTCATCGCAAGGCCCGGCACCTTTCTGCTGCAGCCACCGAGCCGCCAGGGCCGCCCCCGCCAGCGCCGCCCCCGCCACCCCCCGCTCCACCCGAAGTTAAGATGGAACCCTACGAGTGTCCCGAGTGCTCTACCCTCTGTGCCACTCCCGAGGAGTTCTTGGAGCATCAGGGCACCCACTTTGACTCTCTGGAGAAAGAAGAGCGCAACGGGCTAGAGGAGGAGGAGGAAGAGGAGGAGGAAGACACAGAGGAAGACACAGAGGAGGAAGAGGAGGTGGCGGCAGAGGTTGGTGAGGATGCTGCGGGAGGCGACAGGTCCACAGCCGCCCGGGCCCAGGGCTGTGCGGATTGTCCCCAACCCTGGACGGCCGCGGAGGCGCGCCGGCGACACCGGCGGGCCTCCCGCGGCCCGGCATCGGCGGCCCACCCCTTCCACTGCAGCCAGTGCCAGCGCAGCTTCAGCTCGGCCAACCGGCTGCTGGCGCACGGGCGGGCCCACGTCGGGGGCACGCACGAGTGTACCACCTGCTCCAAGGTCTTCAAGAAAGCCGCCTCCCTGGAGCAGCACCTGCGGCTGCACCGCGGCGAGGCGCGCTACCTCTGCGTGGACTGCGGCCGCGGCTTCGGCACGGAGCTCACGTTGGTGGCTCACCGGCGGGCTCACACCGCCAACCCGCTGCATCGCTGCCGCTGCGGCAAGACATTCAGCAACATGACCAAGTTTCTCTACCACCGGCGCACACACGCCGGCAAGAGCGGGGCGCCCCCCTCGGCGGCGGCGGCGGCCTCCCCGGTGCCCGCCGAGCCCGCGCCCCCACCACCGCCACCGCCGCCCGCCCCGCCCGCCCAGCTGCCCTGCCCACAGTGCTCCAAGTCCTTCGCCTCGGCCTCCCGGCTCTCGCGGCACCGGCGCGCCGTCCACGGGCCCCCCGAGCGGCGGCACCGCTGCGGCGTCTGCGGCAAGGGCTTCAAGAAGCTGGTCCACGTGCGCAACCACCTGCGGACGCACACGGGCGAGAGGCCCTTCCAGTGCCACTCATGTGGCAAGACCTTCGCTTCCCTGGCCAACCTCAGCCGCCACCAGCTGACCCACACGGGCGTGCGGCCCTACCAGTGCCTGGACTGTGGCAAGCGCTTCACGCAGAGCTCCAACCTGCAGCAGCACCGGAGGCTGCACCTGCGGCCCGTGGCCTTCGCCCGCGCGCCCCGCCTGCCCATCACCGGCCTGTACAACAAGAGCCCCTACTACTGCGGGACCTGCGGCCGCTGGTTCCACGCCCTGGCCGGCCTGCGGCTGCACCAGCGCGTCCACACCCGCGCCCGCCCCGGGCCCGGGCCCCTGGCGCCGCCACCGCGATCCCCACCCCCCGCCCCGGCGCCGCCACCACCGCCGCCGCCCCCCGAGCCTCAGCAGACTATCATGTGCACCGAGCTCGGGGAAACGATCGCCATCATCGAGACGTCCCAGCCGCTGGCGCTTGAGGACACGCTGCAGCTGTGCCAGGCGGCCCTGGGGGCCAGTGAGGCTGGCGGGCTCCTGCAGTTGGACGCGGCCTTCGTGTGACACAGCTGAGGAGCAGCAGTAAAGGAGTTGGGTTGCGACAGCCGTTGTGGGCCCCTCTGGGGAGCGAGGGGAGCCCCACCCCCACCCCCGCAAGCCACTCTGGCACCCACCGGGTGCCAGGATACCCCCTGGCCTCTTACCCACGGACTCCTCACAAGAGCCCTGCCCAGGTGTCTCTTGCCACTTTTCTCTGCCTATGGGGAAACTGAAGCTCTGAGGCCTGATGTGATCCGTCCCAGGTCACCCCACTGCGTCGCAGAACAGGGCTTGCCAAGACTCTTGGCTCTGCATCCATCACCCTGGTGCCCAGCAACCCCAGCCACGTGCCAGATCAGTGCTGGGCACTGTCGTATACCTCTTCAGGCTTTCGCTCATCCCCAAGCCCTCCCCTCCCCTGGACCCCGGGGCACCCAGGACTTGGCTCTGCCTGGTGGAGAAAGGTACTTGAGTTCTCTGGGCTTCCTTAAGCTCCCTTTTGACAATGTCGAAGGAACTCTATAGGTACCCAGGTACTCCGCTGCGCGCTGAGTGATGCCGGAGCCCCAGGAATGACTCAGAGCCAGGCGCTGCCCCAGGAGGCACACGGTGGGGTAGGAGGAACATCCAAGTACAGATGGCCTTGCTCTCTTGAGTGTGTCTTGTTGATTCATTCAGCCTGGGAGTCCTCAGGCCTCCCTCACACATGCTGGGCGATGCTGAGGGCTGGAGAGGAGTCAGGCTTCTGCCCTGCCCCTGGGCAGCAGGCAGATCTCAGCCCCGGGATCCTCAGGGCTGTGATGGGGATGTGCAGGGACAGTGGGATCCCAGAGCAGGGAACAACCCCTCCTCTCCCCTGCCCCCGCCCCAAAGGAGGTAGTCCTTGAGGAAAAACTAGGAATCTGCTAGCGAGAGAGGAGGAGAACATAGGCAGAGACAGCACTGCAGAGGAGGGTGAGTTCTTGGCTTGGAGACCGTCCAGTTATTCACAGCTACAGTAACCGCGAACGCGGCTGCCTAGCCGTGGCAGGCACGCGGTTAGCACTGTACGTGGATTGTGACCCAGCAGGCCTGTGAGGTGATCTCAGCGTTAGCCCTGTTGTACGGATGAGAAACCAGGGAACAGAGACTCACCCAAGGTCTCACATTAGGCAGCACTGTCACAGGGATTTGAATCCAGGTGTTCCGTTCAGCCCATGTCTCTAAGCAGTACTGTTGAGCGAGTGTGACCTGAGACTGGGGGGAGGGGGGCAGCGTCCAGAGGATTTGCTACGGCTGGAGGAAAAGTGAGCTGGTGTCACAGAGCAGTTGGGGTTTGTTGGGGCCCCCGAAAGATCAAAGGTCTTAGGAACAGGAAGGGATCCCCAACCTTTTCAAAGGTTACCTAAGGTGGCAGTCCTTCCTTCTCTAAACAGAAGCAGATGATTTATGGCAGGTCCCTGGGGCAAGCTCCCACCAAGCCTCTACAGACCAAGGTGTTCAGGCAGGGGAGGCTATGGCTGAGAGTTGTCTGGGTGGGAGGCAGGCCCAGACCTGGGAAGCAGGGAAAGCCTGCCCCAGAGGTTGGGGCAGCAGGGGATAGGGGGAAGAGAGGGTCAAAAGTGGGGCTTAGGGCTCCCTGGCATGAAGGTGGGGCCAGGGGGAGGCCGAAGATGGTCTAGGAGGGGAAGGATGGGACCAGACTAGGGCAGAAGCCACAGGAGTGGGAGGGAGGGTGAGCGACCACCTCAGCGACCTCGTGGCTGAACAGTTATGAGCAGCAAGGGAGGCAGGGGGACCAGGCCTGCTCCCATCTCTGGTCTACTTGCTCTATGTATTCATCTTACAAACAAGGTGGTATCCAGAGGGTATTGAGCAGGGAAGGCGAGGGATTGTTCTGGGCAGTATACAGATACCCCTGGGGCTGGCAGACTGGGAGAGTCCAGATGCCACAGGAACAGGCCCTGAACTCTTGGGACATGTTCAGAATTCCCCCTTTTGGGGCCCCGGGCTGGCTCAGTCAGTAGAGCATGGAACTCTTGATCTTGGGGTCGTGAGTTCAAGCCGAGTGCGCCCCCCCCCCCCCCCCGCAGTGGACGTAGAGCTTACTTGAAACAACAAACTCATTCCCTTTTTCTTCACGATTGAAGTCCAGTGGAGGACATATCAGTTGCTCCTCCCCAGGCCTCCTTCCACTTCTGGGGCCTCCTGCCCTCACATACCATTGGCACCACATGTAGGAGCTGCCATTTCCCTCTGCCCATGGCCCCACCATCTGGCCCCAGCATGTTTTTGAAGCAAGGGAAGAAGCCAAGTTCTCTGCACCAACCTTCCCAGGCTTGTCACTTCTCAGCATCCCTAGATAGGGGCCAGGTACGTGCCCTGTTTGAAACAGAAATGAAAGCTTGGACATCTGTTAGGGTTTAAGGACTGTTTCTCTGCCCACGTCTGTGCCCACTAAGAGTCTACATCCAGGCTGTTTTGGCCTGAGTGACTAGGTGTCATCCGGTGTCCCGTGAAGCAGCAGGTAGCTCAGGCTGTGGGAGACAGAGCCCTCTGTTCAAGTCTTGACTCTGCCACTTTCTGTGGCCTTGACCCCTGATCCCCAGTTCTCAACTGTCACCTGGGGAGGACAGTGCCTGCCTCCCTCCTGAGGCAGAAGAGGACAATGGCGGGGTCCATGAGGCCGGCTCCCCTGAGGCCTCTGCAGCGGATAAGCCAGATTCTGTTCATCACATGTGTGAAGGAGAGTGGAGGCCCGGGGAGGCTGGGCACGTGAGCCAGGACCAGGACTCAGGCCTCTGGCAGCCCAGCCTGGCTTCACTCTCAGCGGTGCCCCTGCCTGAGAGGTCCTGTCCCAGCACAGCCCCTCAGGGCAACCTCCCTCACCTCCATGGAAACAAGGCAGCCAAACAGGAAGCAGGTTTTCATGCCAATAATTTATTGAACGGAGGTCTGTACACAGGCAAACCTTACTGTGGAAACTAAGACATCGGGAGCTCCCCCACCCCCACCCCCTCAGCCCTCCAGGGTGGGGAGAGGAGGGAGGAGACCTTAGGGGCAGGGGACAGGAGGGGGGACACAGTTGTAGAAGGGGGACGGGCCAGGTTGGACGGTGTGAATCGACGTTTTCTTTAAGAAAAAAATTATAACAATCTATTTACACCCGGGGGGGGCGCAGGGAAGGGAAGAGTAGACGGGCTGGTCTGGTTCTATTTACAAGGGACACAGGAAGGGAGAGGGGTTGGAGGAGTGTAGGCCCGGGAGGAGGGGAGGGGGCCAAGGGGGTAGGAGGTCCTCATGCCTCCAACCCCCTGTCCTTCCTTCTCTTCCCTCCCCACAACCAGTTAAAATCCTCTTAAAAAGCCCACCACAGGGTGAGGCTGGTGAGGGAGGGACTGGAGGTAGGGACAGGGACTCATTTACCTCTGCCCTCTAGTCTAGGGGCCCAGCCAGGTCAGGAGCTTGATGGGCTATGGTCCCCCTTCCCAGCCCCACTAGGGGCTCCCAGATGGAAGAGTAGTTGGTGGAGCCCTCAGGAAGAGTTAGTGAGGGGAGCTGTGGCGTCGGGTGACTGCCAGTCCGAGCCGGTCTGAGCCTCACTTAAAGCTGAGGGGGAGGAAAAAGCAGACAGTTACCCTTTGCCTCTCAGACCTCCCCCAAGAGCAGGAACCCAGTGGGGGATGCTACATCAGAAACGGACAGCTGCCACTCTAGGTCCAGCGCTGCATACTCGAACACCAAAGGGCCAGGCTGGTCACTGAGTGACTCACCCGACAGCCGGGCCCCAAAGAAAAGAGGGCGGCTAGAACTTGGCCCCAACTCACAGCACTGCCCTGAGGAAAGGCAGGCCCAATGCTGCCCAGTCAGATTTTCTTCCCCAAGAGACATAGGAAATCTGGATTTGTAACATGCAATGGCCTCAATTTTTAAATACGGGCAACAAATTTAACATTCTGTTTGTTTGTGCATGCCAAACATAGGTCTTTGGTTTTCCATTTGGCACTTAAAACACAAATATAGACAATCAGACCCGATAAAGGTGGCTGTTCACACGTATGCTATCAGATGTCAACAACTTCCACACCTGTGCGGGGAACTCGGGGGCTGTAGGCACAGGCTGGCCTCCCAGGCTGAGAAGCAGAGGGCCCTCAACTTACCTTGTGAGGATGGAGTGAGGGAGGCAGTGCCCGCTGGGGACCTCAAGTGAGGAGGGATGAGAATGGCGTTGAGAGATGGTTGGATGGAGAGTTCTAGAGACAGGATTGGACACGCCCAGTCAGCAGGCAGGGTGTTGGGAGACGGGGTCGGGGTTAGAAAGGGGCACCAGGTAGCGACCCAGCTCTTGGCAAGGCCAGCTGACACGTGTAGCTCCTGAACGCTTTAAATGACAAACCAGAAGGGGCCCAGCACAGGTGACCACAGAGCACAGGTGAAGCAGCTTCGGGGCTCCTGTACTGGGGGCACCTCCCGAGCGCCCCTCCCTCAGCATCCTGCTCCTATCTCTAACACCAAGCCCTCCTCCACAATCTCCGCTGCCCTTCCGGCTCCCTGCATCCCAAGCTGTGCCCTCACCTCCAGGACTGAAATTGAAGAGGGGGGGAAGCGGGCGGTTGTTGGGGAGCTGGGTTCCGTGACATCGCAGTTCATCAAAGAAGCTGTGGGCGCAGGCTTCCAGAGGGGAGAGCCTTGAGGACGGTGTGTACTCCAGCAGGCTCGAGCAGAGTGCGATGGCCTCCGGCGGCGTTCGAGATTTGAACACCTTAGGGGGTGGTCAGGAGGGTGAGCCGCCCAGGTACTGTGGACTCCCGCACCCCCACTTCCCATACGAGGCACAACCACTGAGGGGAAACCACGTTCTTTGGAGTGAGCAGCTCGCGCGGGTCCCATCGTGGGACAGGCCCTGCAGGGAGCCTGTTTCCCCAGCAGAGAAATGGCACTCAAACTTACCGTGGACCCTCAACTTCCAGAGGATGGGAGATGCCATAAACTTTGAAATCTGATGAGTTATGGCCCCATTCCCAAGCCCTGACTCTATAGCCAGG